AACCGTAGAGATAAATCTAGTGATACAAGTCATTACAGCCTCTCTTATAGCCCACCATGGCCTAGACGCATTCCTTTTTTATCCGACTGGGCATCATGGCCTTTCGAGTGCTGAAGTTGTTTACCACTATATACACTTTCCAGTCGCCCACAAGGGTGGGGAAGTCGAACATAACTTAAACTCCCTCCAAAGTTTCACAGAAACAGCCAATCACGGCGTGACAACGCTTCACTTTGGCCCATCACAGATTTTTGCCTCTGTTCCTCACACAGATGTTGTCGCTCTCTTTTAGTTATTTGACTAATGAACTCCTGGCCCTCGCCACATTTTTCTTAAATCTGATTTCGATGCTGATGAAATCCTATCATCACCTCGGAACAAGCTAATTGCATCTCTTCACCTACCGCTCGAAAATATGTTAAGTGTCTCAGGGTATGACGTAACTGACCGAAACGTGTTTCCCATCAGTGCTAGGTCCTCCGTAAACAAACTAACGTATACAAAATCTTCGATACTCATGGATCGGCCTGCCGCGCCGCTAATCACTGAACCTTGGTGCGCATCTGGAGTGAACAAGGACTGCCTTTGGCATGAAGGATGTTCACCTTTCGGAGGGAATTCGTCTGCTGGCCGTCGCGAAGAATGCTCAGTGAACATCAAGACAGACTGCAAAGCCAATTGCTACGAAGGCCTGAGTCTTGATGCAAACGATGATGTTGATGAAACTTTTGCGGCCACATGACCTTTCCACAACACCGCATCTACCACCTTCCTAACCAGGAAGAAGGAAACAATTCAACGGGACCAAGCTAAAGTGATTCAGCAAAGTTGCTGTATTCCACTATATAGTTTCCCGAACTCTCTTGAGCTGCGCACAGTCACAGTGTTTCAACAGTAGCGAAACGCGACTTGGTGTGATATCTATGGGATGGATTTGTAGCAAATCTATAGTAATCAACAATGTCACGGGCAACTGTACAGTCCAAAACGTTCTCTGGCCCGGAATACTTGACGAAAATCAAGAAGAATATTCCAAACAAAATGGGATCGAGACTCTGCCTACAAAAACCAACCCAATCAATGAACGTTTCCGTCAGACAGTCAAAAGACAAGCAGTCAGTTCAGTACAGCCTTATGTCGAGCAAAAACAAAATGTCGGGAACAGTAAAACAATATCATGCTGCTAACAGTTGACCATCACAATAGTAAAGTGAAGCGTCCGTGATAAGTCCCAGTCAAAACGAAGACAAATAATGAGTGTAAAGTCAAAGAGGGTAAGGAAGTGATAAAGTAATATTACATTTGTTAAAGTTAAAGGATAATGTCCATAACGAGGGTGAAAATATTCAAATAAATACCAGTGGTGTCAAACGGGGTGCTAAGGTGGGATTTTCAAATCATTTGTTCCATTATAGGAGGTTATGCCTTCATTATTTTGTACACTCCCTCAGTCAGGTCAAAGCTAGAAAACCGTATTGAGGAAGCAAATTCTAGTCTTAAGGGTGACTCAGACGTCCTAAAAGGAGTTCAGAGGTCAGCCACCCGTCTTATGCTTGCCATAGCTAGTCACGCCTACGAGAAAGATTTAAGAGGCAGAACGCCTTCTGTTTATCTTATCGCAGGCAGAGAGCAGATCTAATCATGTTATACAGGATCCTAAAGAATGACTTCTGAATTAACCTATCCTCCCTTTTCCTTCCTACTAGGCTTAGACACCAGGGAGGACCTAGCAGGAGATGCAAAAGCAAAGAATGAACATGGTCTCCGTGGCTTGCTGGTTCTCACGTTGACTGATTGACTACTAGGATCAACCGCTAAATAAAGAGGCGTCCGCATCACCAACTGAATAGATCGACAAAGAACTGAATGAGCACAGAGATTTGTTTTAATGTGATTATTATTAGCTTGCAGCCGTCCATCGTCAAACAACAGGTGTGAAATCTGAAAATCTGAAAGAGGCATGGTTCTAAGAGTCCTCTTTCATGTGCCACTAATTTCCGTGGGATGACTGCACTTCTAATTGAGACAACAGAAAACGAGTACATGTTATCTTTCGCGACCTAGTTAAAGTGTTCGGTCTACAACCCTGCTTCAAAACACACCTGGAAATAAACAGTTCAGCTTCAGAGTAAACAGGACACAGTGAAAGTGGAGATCATTGGCAACAGAGGTATCACAAGGACCACTTCTGCTCTTCCTGTTCGTCAACTATCTGCCACACAAAATCTTTTAGCCATCTTCCTCCCCTCTGGTGGCACTAGTATTTGGAGGGTAGCAAACGAAGAGGCTGACATTACTGCACTCCGAAATGACCTGCAGCCAACAGGATTCTGGTCTTTGGCAAACGTCTCCAGCTGCAACCGGGAGGAGCGCAAACCAATTCTTCTCAGCACTCAGTAGGCAGGGATGACAGGACTCGAACACAAGTTGAGCGACCCTGCTATCGCCAAAGTGTCTGCGGATAAACATCTAGGGCTCAGTTTTTCTGACACACTGAACACCAGAAACACCTACGGAAGAATGGCAGTCAGAGTGAACACCCCTTTCCACCCTAGGGGCAGGCATCTTGGTTGTCTCAGCCCCGAACTTTTTCCCACGGTTTGCAAATTCTACGTACGGCCACACCTGGAAGTCTTCAGTGTGGCAGCACTCTTATCACGCAAAGAGACTACAATCTCTTCTACAAACCAGTTGTGGAGCTAAGTCGGAGGACAAGCTGTTGTGGTGTGAAACTCTTAGACCCATTCCATTTAGGTTATCACTAAAAGAGAGGGGACCTTGCTTTGGCCTGGAATATCGTCCATCAGAAAAGTCACGCAAACAAGCTAACCTTGCCTGCAACATGGCGATCATCTCAACAGAAACCTGTTGGGACAACATGTCAGACGGTTAACACCAGGTTCAGATATAACTATTTCTCTTTGGGAGCTTCATGAAATGACATATGACAGAACGCAGTGACGGGTACCTCAGTAGACTCACTCAAAAGACGCTTAAACAGTTGCGTCACTTCGTATGACCTCCTTCAGATGTACTCAAAGAGTTACTGACCTCACTAGCTTACCATTACTCCCTCCATACTTATCATTCACCATCTCTCTCGTCGGCACCCCGCATTATCTACCAACTCCCTTTCAACAAATAGGCCTATGTTGTCTACTTTCGCCCATGGATAATTCACTCCTCTCCCACTGTCTTGCTATTACTAGTTCAGGCATCTACGCAGAGGGGAGTTACGAAGGACCTCCAGTCTTCTCAGAAACCCGCAACTCCCTGATCACTATACACCTTATAATTACCAACCCACTTTACACCAACGATGACAAATTATGGAGAGCTGTGACGTCCGAAACGGAATCTAGTGCCCTACAAAGTGATCTCAGATTGTTTGCAGAATGGGAGGATAATAACTGACAGGTACTTTTGCTGGATAAATGCCAAGCCGTGTCTCTCTGCACTCCCGACTATCAAAAAGAATCCTACTTTCTCTGTGACGCGCAAATTTCGCACATCACGGAGTAACACCTGGGACTTATACTTACTGACAAGCCAGACGCCTGAGCCAGTTATCCAGTAGATGCCTTCAGAGCCTATGCAGTAATGTGCTTCCTGAGCAGACAACCGGGTGCTCTCACTCCGAAACTCTTCCCGAAGCTGTGCAGCATCTGCAGTTTCACAACCTCTTCGCACATCCATACCCGAAAAGAAATATGAATCTCCTGGGGAAAGACGAACAACGAAAGGTGTTGTGGGAAAGCAGCTAAAACCCTATGACGACAGACTGACAGACCTTGGGGCTTTGCTTTATCAACTACTGCAGGTTGCGTGGTGACTTGAAAATGGCTTGCAAAATAATAGGAAATCGAAGTAGCCCAAGGAATGGGATCCTACGAAACAGCTACTGTGATATTCCTCGCGGAAACCCAAAGAGGAAGTTGGGCAGCCACAAGGTGACGCACGGTTTGGGCTGATGAGCTGGGATACGGACTGGGTTGATACAACCAATTAATTCATCTTAGACCTGGGCACTGGAGCCTGTAACGAGTCTCTTGTACCACCAATATCACAGCAAACTTGAGTTAGCTTTGAATTTCCCTGTTGGACATATCCTCCAGATATCACACAGCAATACTAACATAACTGTTTCCATTCCAGTAAACTGTCCTGTAATATGATTCGTTCCTTCTCCACGATCTAACCCTATTTATTAAGATTCTTCCTACCACTGTTATTTTTCCTGAATCTACCTAGGATTCTCCTTTACCTCCGGTTTGCTCCTTTTTACTCATTTCCTATTCCTTGCTTTCGCTGACAACCTATCCATCCCTTCTATCTTCTTTTTACAACCCGTCCGAACAAATATCCGGAGCATTACACTTCAGTAACCTATCTGCAACAGTCCTCGGAAGAATCACACAATCCCCACAAATTTAACTAGCACGTAGCCACCTACCGAGCTAACGAGAGCTACGGTAGGTGAGTGAGTAGACCTACTGAATAGTAACCCTCCAAGGCTCTGGAACCGTTCCACAAGATAGAAACGAGCATGAAAAACAGTTGGGTATCGGATGCAACTTTTCCCACTATCTTGCGATTCCTACTCAGTCACCTATATATACAGGAGTCCGAATGATTCCCAATTTTATCAGAAATCGGTAGCTCCCTGACCAATTCAATCGACAGGTTATGACTGCCAGCCCACAAAATCACCCAGATCACCAGATCTACGAACCAGAAAACGGGAGAGATCTTCCTCCCCGCTACCAATGAGAAACGGGAAAAGAACCAAGCACCAAGAACTGGAAGCGAGGGATCGAAAACTAACAGTTTTCTACTCTAGCACCATTGATTTGGATGTTGGTCGGTGCATATATAAGCTTAATAAAGGGGCATTAGATATTTGGATAAGATTTGATACCAGTGCCAAAGATTCTTAACCTAATAAACCTCAAGCTTGTTGTTTCTGCAACACTATCTAACATTGGTATTTTGTTTGAAACAGTCTGTGAAGCCCATATAAACAACCAGAGGGTTGTCCCTCGAAAGGTATGTTGACAGTAACTGCAGACAAATGGGATTATATTTGACTCACGCGTTTCAAGTTCTTATGCATAACAACGTCGTTTTTAAATAGTTCACCTCTGTAATCATAAATATGCATCGCCCAAATGCAGTGTACACCTGCATCTTATTTGGTGAGTTAACTTGTCCGTGCGTTTGTTTAATTAACTGAAAGTCGGGCTATACTATTTGGTAGATGTTATTATTACATATCTCGACCACTGCTTATTGGTTCTTGCTTTGTTTTAGATTTGGAATGGCAGATTCAGACGAAGAATCCGATCGCCGACGCAACCGTGACAAATTCCGCCGCGAACGAAGCGATAACGAAGGACGTCGTCGCCCAGGTGATAAACGTGAGCCTTTCGACGACCGATCAGGAACTGTTGGCGTCACATCTATACGAGATGATTACCGTTTGTCTGGGGAAAACAGAGGTGAGCGTGGACGCTCACCACCTGCAGAACCTCCATACAAACGACCTAGAAAGGAGCAAAATGACGATTTAAGGTCAGCTTCTCACCTGCGTAAGGATTCCAAAAGTGCGAATACGGCAGAATATGATAACATGTACAGACCTCCGATAATACCGTTCAAACGATTCCTTGATCCCTTGGATGATCTTATAACAGAAGAAGAGGCGTGCAGTAAATACAAAGAGTACAAAGAAGGCTACATGAAACGTCATGTGGAAGAATTCTTCGAAGCCCACAAGAATGAGGAATGGTGAGTTTGTAAATATCAACATCAGGTGGTGTCGCAAATTAGTTTTTCAGTTCATTTTCTTGAGGTATAATATTGGTTGATAGCGTCTATTCTGACCACGAATTGCATCAGAGTAACTCTGTCCTTAGCAGGAGTTAGGCACCTGCGCTTAGTTATGTGTGTACGGTGGTATCTTGTTGTGGTTTTTATCATTTCTGGCTATCTCCGTTTTGGATTTCTCATTGGGTAACGTTACTCTTTCTAACTGATAACTAAGACCTTGACTTCGCAAATCTCGGCTTGTCTCGTATGGAACACTAATTGCAAACCAACGACTCATCGGTTACTGAAAGCTCAGTTAACATCGTGTGTTGAAGTATCGTTGCTGTAGCCTATTAGGATAGAATTATTACGATAGTTCATACACGTCAGTTTGTACGTCATAAATTCATGTCAACTGTAAATCCAGGGTTTTATATGCATAGTGAAATTCGTTACTCGTGCCGCAGTTGTCCAATTTTTTTATGCACCCTAATTAATTATTATCATAGAGCAGACGGACAGAATCAACGTAGAACCCCGTATGCAAGTTCGTTAGTTCAACCTGCAACACTTCACAGTTGTATACGAAAAACAGGTGGATAGAAAAAAACTGATATCAAAGTAGACAAAGTTGTGTGAAAGAATAAGCAATTTGAAGACTAAAGGTTAGTGCGCATATTCAAGCTCCGGAAGACGTCAAAGAGTGAATACATCTGCACCATTGTGATAGATTCTCAGCCATATCACCAAAAGTCTTCAGCCACTAATTCCTATCGTCTCAGGAACCCCAGGCAGGCAGTCTACATCTCCTTTCCCGGCCCAGACTGGAAGTCAGAGACTTCATGGACTCGTTTTACGTCTTAGTCTAGCCACCCTGAGCCTTCTTCCAACCAAATCCAACTTCCCCTAGCATGGCACGTCGAGATAGGTGGTGAATAGATATACGCAGCACATGTCCAAGCCGTCTCAGTTAAATAAGGTTTAAAACCTCATCAATCGACTTGGCTGTCTTGCCTAGTACCATTCGCCTGACCTAGCATTGCTCACACGGTGATCCCACCAAAAGTGAGCAGTGCTCTGAAGACACCTGTGACTAAAACCCTACAACCACTTCATGTCTTCTGTCTTTTGACGGTTATGTCTTGCAGCTGTATAAGAGGACAGAACGGACTATTGTGATGTATACTCGCACGTTAATAGATGGTTGGATATCTTACCAGTGGCCTCCGTGAATGATGTAAGTTGACAAGTGCCAAACTGGTCTTTTGTTATGTATGTGAATGGTTAATGGATTATGTCAGCCACAGTTATAAACCTCTCGGACTCTGTGACTTCTCGGGTTTCAGTTTATTTATTTATCTAAGGATCACTTCAGTATTCATCGACATAAGAGCCATTTGTGGGATCCCAACCATGATCGTACCTCGCATTTGTTGCTACCTACCAAAGCAACGTTTCTGAGGAAATACAATAGTTTTCGCTTTTAAATCCTGATAAGAAGCTTAAGTTTTCATTGGGAAGTAAATTGGGTACTCCATCATGCTCCTGATGCTGCGCTTAGTGTGAGTAAAGTCCTTTGGACAGACAAAAGTCATACACAGTGCTTTTCATATCTAATGCGAAGTTTAATGATGAGAGTCTCACGAGAGTACTATTAAACTTGATACAACCCTTTTCTGCAGAAAAATTCACGTAGCACTTCATCCTTCTTAACAACTTTACGATCTGAGTATCCAGGAGGGTCTGTGAGAAAGCCCCTATAGTATTGACTGCAGAGCGAAAGATGTGACATTTTCTAACGTCTTAAACTACTACTACTACTCTTTCAGTTTTTACTGACATACAGGTTCGCTGAAGTTTCCATATCCCCAATCACTGCCGTTTCCACGCTAAATACTTAGTCTGGAGGGGATTGGTTTATAAGCTGTCACAAGGTCTTAATCTAAAGTCAGTAACTACATAGCCATGATTTGTCAGCAGTAAAAGATACTGAAGGTCACTCATGCTTGTACCGGTGAGGGAAGACTAGATCTAAGTGCGTGGGGACAGCTACATTTCGTACCAAAACACAGAGGTAGTTATTAGCAATTCAGAATTGAAACTATACGCATATATAGCTGTAAACTTCCAGTAAATATGGGTAGTATTCAATTCTTCCATTACTAAGCATCTGTTACTAATGCCCCACCTAGGCAGGAAGCTCAACTCCATCATCCCCTTAGCCGCTAAGACTTCGGTAGGTGACTCCAATAGTGAGCGCTTTACATCGACTTGATATTGTAATATGCTATTTTACATATGCGCTGGTGTGCCCTTCTGACACCGTTAAACGTACTGTAGTACGTTCCTGAATATGTGTTGCTATGCCATCACCCTTACGACTAGTGACTGTCAGTCCCTATACAAGTAATTCATGGTACAAGTAGGGTAAGGTCCTAACCAATAGCTGCTACTTTGACATATCGGTTGGGCTTGCATATCACGAATACTGAACGAGCTGCACTGTCTGGGGTGCTTGTTCCCTTGACGTCCTGCCTCACCAGAAAGGTCTGTTGAATAGTGGTAAGACGAAAAGCAGTTACCGTTGCGTAAATTACTGCACTATGATGGAAGTCTGAGGGCGAAGTCGTACTGCTGTTGGATGGGGTGTGACAACGGTAAAGTGTTCCCCCTTGGATGACCAGCAGTGCCATGCTGATGCTGTCTTCCCGATGAGAAGGGTAGGGTAAGGAAAGGCCGACTGAAAAAGTATAACACTTCCCTGCATCTTGGTGTGTCGGTGCCGGCGGTACTACTTTTCTCTGTCTGGCGTCAGAATGATCACATCTCATATCAACTATCCTCGAAAAGCCGTGTGTGACAGACCTCAAGCAGACGTTTCATGGGCTCTGTGGTCACACAGATGTGCTTCTTTTTTTCAGGTGCCCTAGGAAAACAACTTCCATAGTGTGGGTAGCCAGGAAGTGTCAATTGCCCGCACGTTTGCAGTAGTATGCATAGTCCAATCAAAGATAACCTATGCTCGTTACCTCTGTCTCCTTTGTATTTACCTCCTGGTACCGATATCAAGCCACTTACAACTTCCTCAGGGAACAAACGAACGAAACAAAAGACAGCTACCCTGTGCCTATCTTTGCAGTAGACAGTAACCCGTACCTATTATGTGAAGGCTAGTGATACGATCTGGTTGCCCGAACTTCGGTGGATGGAATAGGACTCAGCCTCACTCAGCAACCAAGCCATTGAAACCTCATTCTTAGTCTTTTAAGACCGTGCTGTCGAGTTCACACTGAAGCTTCCAATGTTTGAACTCTATATCAAATCGGGCAACATGCACCGCGTGCTATAACTCTCAAATCCTGACCCATAGGTGTATACTGTTTCTGAGACACGCATACAGCAGTGCCCTGATGCTGCTATTGGCTTGGTCTTGCCTGGCCACTGCGCTAAGCCTTCAAAATTCACCTTACGAGTATCCGAAAACTCAATGGTTAGTGCTCGTGAATTCGCTAGTGTAGGTATAGCATGAGTCTGTAGAGCAGAAAAGCACACTTCGGGTGGATACCAGTCAGCATGTCTGTGTGCTGTTCGACTGAATAGATGTGTAAAATCTAGAAGAGATTGTGAGACTAATCTATGCGCTCCGAAGGACTGCATTTCAAACAATGTGAAGGATACATTCTATAGGAAGCTGTCAGTTTTGTTACAGAAAGCAAGGCGTCCAGATATTTACATAATAGCAGGCGGCTTAGACGCCTAAATGGGGAAGCTGAGTCGATTGTAAAGACGTCTTGGAGGTACCCACGGAATTCCATGCCAAGGAACCGACAAAGGCGATCGTCTGTTGAAACCTTGTTTTGGTAATCACTGGTTTTGGCTAACGCCAACTTCAAACATAAGAAAAGATTGGCTCACGGCGTCCGCCGAAATCAAACCAATGATGGACACATAAGTCAAATTGCTTTGAGCTATCTTTAGAGACGATCGGTGAGAGGTTTTTTCCCTTTCTGGAGTACCTGTTCTGACTCTGGCTATACATTAGTACGGGCTTGTGTACGTCTGCATCTTATTGGCTACAGAAAACAGGTGGCACTATATTTTGTGCGTTCTCGACCGGAAGATGAGAACAGCAAGTATGCATTTAGGCAGGAGATAAGTAAACATTCATTTGAACGTGATAGCAATCCTCATCTGGCGTTATATTAAGTCGGCTATAAAGATGGCATTAAAGGCAGTTGATAACTTACATCCATAGGTTAGCAAACGTCATTGGATTTCGGCAACGTCATCCAAACTGACTCATGCGAAAAGACACCCCAGCAGACTACCACAAAGAAGAGCGAAAGAAACTTAAATGTAAATTGCATCTAAGTCTTCGGAATGATTACAAGCAGTAATGAGTGGCGAGAAGATAGAGTAGTCATCATCGTTGGATAATACCCGCCAACTACTTGGGCTCATTAACGATATTGGCGAGATGATGGCTAGTGAAGCCACTGCTGAAAAGGCTGAAATACTAATAACGTCTGAGGACAGGCGTCTATAATTAGATGGGACTCTTTGAAGCATAGTTCAACTGGGTCACAGCAACTTTTCATTTGCCCAGCATCCAGGTGGAGCCTGAATGAAACGCATATGTCAGTCCTCCCGTTGTCTTGGATGTTGAGAAGGCTATTTCGAACCAGAGACGTTGCAAAGCACCAGGACCTAGCAGTTTAAAGATAGAAATAGAGAATTGCTCACTAGAGTAACGGAGGTACTAGGTAGTGTGTGCGAATTACAGACTTACCTACTTCACTCATCATACCAGTGCATAAGAAGGTAGGCAAATCTTGTGACAACCATAGGGCAATGTTTGACTAACATCGTGTCTATGATCATGGGGTCCATAGTTATCCGACGCCTAATCGGACCTGAGAACAACAGACTCCAGAAAAGCAGACAAATTTCAGTATAGACGAGGGTGCATCGACCAAATCCCCACCCTTCAACAGGTCCTAGGACACAGGCAAACTTGTTGGCGGCCGACACTTTTGCCATATTTCTTGACCTGCGAGCGGCATTTGACTCTGTCCGCCAGGAGGTGCTGTGGCAGCGTCTGACCGTGAAAGGAGTACCAAGCAAGTATAAAACGCTAATCATAACTCTCTACTTAAACTCACAGCCATTTAAAGGCTTATAGAGAGTTGTCGTTCGCTGGTTTAGGGAGATAGCTTTCAACCAATGTGTCATTAGTCCGAGCCCCGCTCCACCACGGAGGTTTGGGCAGTCAGGTAGCATCATCAGTAGCTCTCACAGTAATTTGTGGGTCATTGCCTACTCCGCGAATGTTCACAAGGTTAGTGAATGCATCTGATTTTTTATGGAGAGTTGTGGTCTGAATTGAAGACAACTAGTGGTGTCCGCTAGGGTAGCCACTAACACCATTCCTGTCCAACTATTTTATGGACGCAACCTGTAGTACTTCCAAACTTACTCCCAGATAGGCAGTTGGCTGGCTTGGAGTACACGGACGATATTATCTTGGTAGGCAAAGACGCTGAGAAAATACAGGATGTTCTCAACGCCATGAGTAGAAATCTGAATGTTTGACATAAGTGTCGCACCTATCAAATGTAAGATGATGCTTGAAGACTGGTCTGCAGGTAACAGCAGTGTAAGAATAGAAAGTGAAGTAGTAGAATGCGTTGACCATCCCACTTGCGTCAGTTCGAATGGGTTGGTGGCCGATGAAATCTCGGTTTCTATGCAGGTTGGTCTGCCATTTACCGACTTGCGTCATTCATGGAGGCCACTGGTAAGATATCCAACCATCTATTAACGTGCGAGTATACATCACAATAGTCCGTTCTGTCCTCTTATACAGCTGCAAGACATAACCGTCAAAAGACAGAAGACATGAAGTGGTTGTAGGGTTTTAGTCACAGGTGTCTTCAGAGCACTGCTCACTTTTGGTGGGATCACCGTGTGAGCAATGCTAGGTCAGGCGAATGGTACTAGGCAAGACAGCCAAGTCGATTGATGAGGTTTTAAACCTTATTTAACTGAGACGGCTTGGACATGTGCTGCGTATATCTATTCACCACCTATCTCGACGTGCCATGCTAGGGGAAGTTGGATTTGGTTGGAAGAAGGCTCAGGGTGGCTAGACTAAGACGTAAAACGAGTCCATGAAGTCTCTGACTTCCAGTCTGGGCCGGGAAAGGAGATGTAGACTGCCTGCCTGGGGTTCCTGAGACGATAGGAATTAGTGGCTGAAGACTTTTGGTGATATGGCTGAGAATCTATCACAATGGTGCAGATGTATTCACTCTTTGACGTCTTCCGGAGCTTGAATATGCGCACTAACCTTTAGTCTTCAAATTGCTTATTCTTTCACACAACTTTGTCTACTTTGATATCAGTTTTTTTCTATCCACCTGTTTTTCGTATACAACTGTGAAGTGTTGCAGGTTGAACTCATACGCTTCTGTGATAAGTCCTACTTTTACGTTATCTGTCTGCCTGTGATGTAAGATCCAGACTTTCTGACAACCATATTTGCGTTATTAATAACACGTCAGATTTTGTAATGGTTGTGCTTGCCAATTTAGATGGTTCGTTGCTGAGGCTACTAGGGTTAGTATAACGTCTGTTCATGCTACATGAGCATTACCCCGACTTATGAACAGCTGCCACATGAATATTTGGTACCGAGAACTTACCACTTGAAAACCTTATGTCTCCAGGTTTTTACCCGTTTTTCTTACCTCTCCTTCACTTTACCTGTGGTTTCCCTTCTCTTTCTGATGTAGTCAGTCGAGTTGTATACGTATATTCTTATCATTAACCTTACGTTCATTCCTAAGAACAATCTTATGTTCTTCGTGGGTGACCATCACAACTTTTACGAAACACTGTGCATATTTTATATCGATGCTGAGTTAGTGAGATCTCAGTTCGGATCAAAATGTATGGTGGTAATACTGTAGAACGATCCGAGTAGCCACTCACTTAAGCACACCAAGTTAGTAGGCAAGCTAAAGGGTAAAAAAATAACAAGAAAATAAATAAATGTCATTGAGAGTTATAAAACGTGACCAAAAAGAAAAATAGAGAGTAAAGCGATACTCAAAATGTAAAATAACGGTGAGGATGAAGATAATGTGTAAATGCATCTGCGCCTCTGATATCGATACTATATATACATAAGTCTAGAGTTCCTGACTACGAATCTCGATTGTCACACGGATCCTACCCATGAGGTTCACATGTCTTCAGATGGTTCAGACCGGCAGTCACGAACTTAATCCACACCTTATTTTGATCGTCATGCCGAATTCCACCATTATCTCATTTTTTCTGTTTCTGTCCGCACGATTTTTCACAACTTTTGACCACTTTCTTCCTTATCTATTCTTCACGTTAATGCCCCGTCACTTGATGTATTGATATGACGTGTGATAACTTGCACCACTATGCAGTAATACTTGGTCCCACGTTAAAATTGACTGAATAGTGTTCTGGACTAATGTCAGCTTTTATTTTCCGCGCTTTTAATACTGTCTAGCTCTAAACTCACCTTGGTAAGTGTTGCATGACGGATTAGACGGCGGTTGAACATGTGTGACACTTCTTCTGCCATCTGAGTGGTTACATGTTTGAAAACTTATCTGACATCTTTTATCTGAATCTCTACTCCTGGATTCTGCGCTACTGATGTGTTAGCACTACGACACAGCCTATGCCACGGTGGTCGGACGTGTGAAGCTTCCTGTGTCTTCATCTTTCGTCCTGATCTGGTGATATGAAGTGTGGAAGTTTGGATCGTTATGCATTAGTGCCTTGTCTTATGTTATTGATGATGAATGTGTCTTCCACTTTTAATGACCACCTTTGACAACCATAGAGTAAAACAGAGCAAGTTGCAGTGCAGTACACTCAACCCTTTGCAGATAATCGAATATCTCGCCTATGCCCTAGGTGAAGTTGGCAAAAGCTAATCGAAGCTTTTGTATCCGTGTAGAAATTTCGTACGCCACTAAATTGTGAAGTCAAGAAACTTAATCATTTCACTTCCTAATATTAAACTAGGCACCAACGCAGAACAATCCTGGAGCAAGAATTTGCATCTGGTGGTGTGAAACTCATCCTAAACATTTTCAAACTGCCATTTATTATGTCCAAAGAACTCCAGATCTTGTCAGCACCTTCATCTAACTGGATTGCCATCTGTGTACTCTATATCAAGTAGGAAGCTATATGTAATATCAGTTCTTGTAGTCAGGTGAAGAGCGAAACATCTAAATAAACCCATCAAAGCTCAAAATGTAGAAAGTAGATATTCTTGACCATTCAACATGAACAACTGACTTGATACCGACCCTTAGTCCCTAACACGACCACTATCTTTACAGTACGGAGCCTTCAGTAATGCGATATACTTACCTAGCAGTGCTTTTGGTCAGAGACTTCCATAAGACCTCACAACACAATATGTGTGATACATCCCAATAAGCACCCTGAGAATATCACTCAAAGGATTAGAAACTATGTGCAAAAGAATCCAAGACGAGAATCAAATGATGAGTTCTGGATTAGTATAGTAGTTCTACCATTCATGTAAGGCACAAATGAGCTACAAAGGATTTTAAGAACACTGAAGTAAAGCCATCCTACAAGATGACCAACACTCAGGAATCGTCTAGTTAACTTATAAGATAGAATTCCTTTTATCTCTACATAGAATTATGTTTACAGACTAGGCTGTATAGATTGTGATGGCTATTATATTGAGGAATCATCTCGTGAGATCTACATTCATGCCAAAGAACATGAAAGTTACACGAAACGACCACCAAATAATCCTGTAGAACTGGGAAATTTACAAATCAAACCATGCCATCTAATATGGCCACAAAGCTAATATTAAAACTATTTAAAAATTATTTTCAAACTACAAGGAAAGACGGCAAACTAAGGTATTTCACACTATACTGAATTCTAATGCACTCAACAGAAATGAAGGTCTAACCATCACACCAACTTGGACAGAGTATCTGAAATAACACATTACACACAATAACCATAACTAAAGTACATGTACTCATAAGCAAACTGAATTCGTTATCCATAGTATTCTTCCCACACTTCCACACCCATTAACATGTGTACACACATTCACATCTTCACCGTGAACTCACAGACTAATAACAATGACATTCATTCTCCTAGTAATATCATCACTTGTGAACAACGTGATATGATCTGTTTATTTAAACACGGGATAACTTGTATAGGTTGTATTCTCTGAAGCTGGTTCCATGAGGTCGTAAAACATCAGAAATTTATTTCTCTAGCCCACTAGGATTTTACAAATATATTTCCTTGATAATCCACTTACCCATTACTCAACTTATTGAAGTCTGTCCGATCAAATTTTGATTTTAAAGTCTATAGAATTAATTAAATGTTTGGTACATAAGTGTGTTGCAGTCACACTTTTTCTTATTTGTTTGCGTGCTTTTATCTATATTGTCACGTAGGTTACGTCTACGTTATCATCCCGACTACGTAGATGGAAGAAAACTTGCTCTTAATGCAGCAGTCAAACATCGTTTGGATGTTTTTATGGAACTTTTACAGAAAGGTTTTTTCGAAAATCAGTCTGTTCAAATGGACAACAGCGAAAACCTTATAAAACTTATGGACTCTGTTGTTATCAAGCTAGAAGGAGGAACTGATGAAGACTTGAAAATACTCGATGAACCTGATCGTAGTAAATACTCTGATGATGAACTGTTGCATCAATCATCTCAGGTACGTCGTTTTGACTTTGAAGGTGAACATGATAAAAGAAATTTTTCCTTATGTTTTGTTGATTTCACTTGTATTGGTTGGCAAATTTTCAGTAAAATGAAACGCACGCAGCAACCTTGTGCACATTCATGCAGTAGACAACAAGCCATGCCTTGTGTGAGGGATAGTGATACTATCTGGCTGCCCAAACCTCGGTAGGTGGAGCAGAGTTTGGACCCTTAACCCACTGGTTCATAGTCACCTCCCTAAACCATTGAGTCACATCCCTACTTTTCACTGATAAGTTGCTTTATTATTCTAGATCATTCTCTTAAGTCTTTAAGCCTTTTGATCGTACCCGGGAACTTGAAGGTCTTGAAAATCGTCTGGATGGCATCTTCGATCTCGATTGAGAAGATGGGGGGGGGGGTAGGTTCCTGTGGTACCTTTTGCAATGCTTTTTTCTTTAGGTAACAGAAAAATTAGAGGCCTATATTATTTGTATTTAGCTATTTTTATCACTATTTCTCAAGTTCAAAAAGATCCCAATTGTTTACAGGCACCTGGACCGATATGTTGTGAAAATAAGAGTGAGGGAGAGGCTGAATCCGATGACGACTTTGATCACAATACATCCGATTCGAAGAATCTTCAAAAAGCGAAGCAAGAACCTTTCTGTACACAAAGTTGTCCCATTGTGGATAACCGGAAAACTAAGCGACGTAGACGGACTATATCGAATAAGTCTGAAAGCTCTGCCCACTCACAAAGTAGTCAAAGCAGTGACAGTGAAAGTGCATCTTCAAGTGATAGTGAGCATGTCGAAAATTTCCAACCACAACCTGAAAGTAAACCAGAAATTAGTAAGTTATAATGTTTGTTCACGTTTTCATTTTCCGAAATTTAGGAATCTGATTAGATTATTCGATGCACTATGCATCCAATGTGCTGACCGTTTTTAGATATGAATTGTTTTTGTGTGATGCTTTTCATCATCTTTTCTTCGCAGTGACTCTTAGCACATCAAAAGAAACTTGTAAGTAGTATCCATTACAAGATGAGTATAAAAGAAATGGAAATGTAACAGTTTTGGAAAACCGTACAATGAAGAAAAGAATAGCGACTAAGGCAACTGACGAAATTTTATTTAACAGCAATAGCGGTCGAACACCTAGAGTTTTCTCATGTCCTCCATCTTTAATGGCCATGTTTCACAACCATAAAATACAAGAGAGGAAACTGCTATGAAATGTACCCGACCCTTATCAATTATTTGTGTGTTTTGCTGGTGCCATAAGTGATACACGTCGGCAAAATTACTCGAACGTTTTACAACCCTTTTTTTTTAGAGTTTTTCGACCACCCGTCGGCCCATCAGTTTTCCCCACAATGATTGCTGTAGGGCAATACTCGCAGAAATTGTATTCGCTAAGCAATGTCATAGATTGCTTCCCTAAAGCTTGGTTGAATTCTTTTCCCTTCAGAATCCTAAAGTTGATGCTCAAGATTGATTTGGAATCATTTTCATTCTTGTTACCAGTCTACTGTGTAAAATCACTGGTAAAGATAAAACTCTGAATTATTCTCAACAGGTACAACATTAGGGTATTCTTTGAAGTGACGAATACTCTGCACTCACGCCTGTCGAGGTTAAAAGACCCGATTCCCCATTCGAAACGACGGAACTTTTTACGAGATAGGCTGTAGTGAATGCGATGCCACATACGTTGGAGAGACATCGCACCAAATACTAACACGTCTAACCGAACACGTTTGAAGTTGCAAGCACTGACCACAGAATTCTAGTAATCTGGAAAAACTTGAGGTCATAAAATATCATTTAGAAAGGCAGAAGTTCTGCAAAAGGGTTTCTATCCTCACAAAGAGCGGACGATTGCAGAAGCTTTGCATATCTGTTCGTACCCTTCTGTGGTCAACAGAAAAGATGGATTAGACATCTGAGAAATATGGCAAACTTTAGTGACTAGCATAGACAATCCAGATAATATAGAGGGGGAAAGTAGAACAAAATTTCCCTTCGCAGTCTTGTTTTACATGATAAATTCCCAGCGTATTTATTTTTGAATAGGTTGGAATCTTATTTCATGTAGCCTTCTTAATGTCTCTAAAAAGCATTGGTTTTATGTTACCAACCTGTCTAATTCTATTGCACAATACTTATTTGATCTATTTTCACCAATTCAACACCCCTTTCTGAGTTATGCACATCCCACGTAGAACTACCTCTACCGTTATCGCTATTATTGTTATTGTTAATAATCACTATACGTTGTTTGATTTTCAAATATTCATCTTTCCAAAATAATAATTTATTCTTTTTCCCCTCTGATGGCTCACAACTCTGCTGTACCTTTGAATAACCGAAATAAATCTCCCCATTCTATTTCTGTACCACCTTACTTGCTAAATTGGAATAAGACTAACTGACAAAATTTACGTAGAACCTTTCATACAGGTGTATCTGTTCGAGTTGCCACACTTTGCAGTAGTACACAAACAACAGGTGGATACAAAAAGAGTTATATCAAAGTAGATAAAGCAGTGTGAGAAAATAAACAATCTGAATATAATGGTTAGTATGAATATTCAAGCTTCACAAGATGTCAAGAAGTGAATACATCTGTGCCATTGTGACCAGTATCCAAACATGTCACCAATAGTTCTCAACCACTGACTCCTTTCGTCTCGCGGATCCCAACCAAAGCAGTCGATATCTCCTAATACGACTCTGACCAAAAGGAAGAGACTTCTTCGACCGATGTTACGTTTTGGTCTGGCCACCCTGAACCCTTTTCCATCCTAATCCAACTTCCCCTAGCATGGCATGTTGAGACAAGTGGTGGATGGACATATGCAGCACATGTCCAGGCTATCTCAGTTAACTAAGGTTCATAGCCTCATCAGTCGACTTGCTTTTCTTTCCTGGTATTCTCCCCTAACTTCAACATTGCTCAAACGGTGATTCCACCGAACGCTAGCGATGTTACGAAAACGTTTATGATCGAAACGCTGTAACCGCTTCATGTCTTCTGCCTGTCAACGTCTATGTCTTGAAGCTGTAAAACAGGCCAAAACGAGCTGCAGCGTAGTATATTCATCCTTTGAAAGATAGTTGGGTATGCCCCGGTTGGCGTCGCCGACGACACAAGTTGGAAAATACCAGACTGGCCTGTATTCGTCAGCAACCAGCCCGTTTGGTAGGCTGATGCAACTCCCAGAGTAGGTGAAGTGGTCAACGCATTCCACCACTGGCGTGAAACTCCCTGACCGTTTAGGTTGTTCAATCCATCCAGATCAACCTAGGACCCAGGCATTACTGCGTAACGGTCCGAGTTGCCACACGTCATATCAGTACATCAAGTAAACAGGCAGTGAGGCACAAGATGAAGATAAGAGAATGAGGTGAAAAGAAATATAAAGTACTCAAAGAGAGAAAGGAAGAAAGAGAAAATGGTGAGATTCGGTATAGCGTCGTTAAGATGAGGATAATGTCTGTATGCATCTGCGCCACTGACATCGGTTCTGAGCCATATCACCTAGAGTCTCCAACCACTGGTTCCTCTTGTCCCATGGACCCCAACCACCTAGTTTGCATCGTCCTACATGAGTTAAACCAACAGTCAGAGACTTAATACATTGATGCCATGTTTTAGTGTGGCCACCTCGAGCCTTTTTGCATCCTGGACCTACTTTGGCCAACATTGTGTGACGAGGCAATCGATGACTAGGCATACGTAGTAGGTGTCCCAACGATCTCAGTGGATGAAGGATCATGACGTCGTCAACTGACTTACCTGTTCTCCCTAAAACTCTTTACCTGACTTCTGCATTACTCACGTGGTGACACCAGTGAATACGTCCCATACAACGAAGGCAACTTTGGTCAAACACCTGAAGCCAGGCTTCTCATGTCTTCCACCTTCAATGACTATGTTTCACGGTCATATGGTAGAACAGAGCGGACTGTTGTGCAGTACACGCTACACCCTAATAGACAATCGGATATGATGGCGGCGCGAGAGATGGGGTAATTTGGCAAAAGCCAACCGAGCCTTTTGTATTCGTGCGGAGATTTCATCGGCCACTGACCAGTAGTGCACCAGGGCTGATCCTACTTTCCAGGTGGGTGAAGTGGTCGACACACTCAACCACTTCACTCTCTATTGTTAGCCGTGGTGGGGCACCGTTGGAGACCAGTCCTGGAGCGAGAATTTGCATTTGGGTGGTGAAAATCGTATCCCAAACATTCTCAAATTCTCATTCAAAGTGTTCTGAAGACTCGGCATCTTGTCAGCATCTTCACCTAACAGGACAATGTCGTGTGCATATTGTAGGTCTGAGGAAAGTTCACCTGTGATTGAGTCAACGTCTGTGTAATTCGGTGAGAAGGAGAAGGAGACCTCCATAAGAGTATCTATGATGAAATTGAAATTGAATAAGAATGGAGATAATGGGCATTCTTGATGGACACCACTCGATGAGTACAGCTCCCTGAACATCTCACCATAGGCTGTAACATGCCCACAAGTGTTCAGTCACCTACATTAAATTAACCGCTGTTTCATATCACAATCTAATTGGATGATCATACAGGTCACTTGTACTGAACTTGAATATTAACGCGACAGCTTAATCAAAAACTTAGTGGGGACTTAATATCAGATTCATACTTTTGAAAAGGATCTTCTTAGCAAAGTCCAAGCGTTGAGGGTTTTTTTTAAGTCATTTTATTTTATCATTTACCATATTATACACTAGGCCGGGCTTACTTAAGTAAAGTATACCTTATCTCAAAGTTGCAATAGCTTTAGTTGTGTAGTATATTCTTGACTCATGTAGTATATTTCCCATTTTCATCTGAAACGTTAGTAAATATCACTCCTACAGAACTAATGAAGGGATGTCAGATTTGGTCTATCACTATTGCTTAATTTGTTTGCAATGACTTTGCATACTGTTGTCAAGTGTTGCAACTTGACCTGATGCATTCACATAGAGGTTAAACTTGAGCGTTGTGAATAGATTGTATTACCATTTTAGTTTTCTAGACATTTGTCACATAGTGAAACAGCATTACTTACTGGTTAATGTTTAGGAGACAACTTTTTGGCTATATTCATATTCTGTATCGAATCTTATGAACGAACTAAAGTGGAATTGATCTGATTCACTTTTCTACTATGTTCTTTAACCTGTCTATTTGTCTTTGGAGTGACTGCATACAAACTATTTAAAAATTTCATGTATACATATTGCAAGTTTGACTCACGATATGGCGCTCACATATGTTCCTTTTTATCAAATCGTTAGATATACTACTTAGTTCTACTCTCATAAAAGTTACACTTTTGAACTTTACAGATGAGTTCAGCGGTGTAAATGACATCATAAAGTCTGATGAGATTGAAGATGATGATGTGCCCACTCCTACAACTGCTGAAACGCCAACAGGATGTAAAAATGAAGACCCTATAATATTTCATCCTTCAGATGATTCACTTGTCAAAAATCCTAAAGTTGATGTTTCAAATATTACTGGTCAATCGAAATCTTCAAATCCTCCACCAAAGCTATTGCACAAAACTGCGTCGATATTTTTTCGAGCTTTGCCTTCAAGTATAACAGAAAGCGAACTGAAAGAGGTTTGTTTTATTACTATTGTTATATCATCCAACGTAGATAATTCAGTAAGGTTCATATTTATGTGTGTATTCCTATGAAAAACTTTGTATGAGGATACTTTTCTTTAGAAATATCTCCTGGATTGTTAGATCTGATGTTTATTTATATCAAAACTTAACCCCAATGTACATCAGCTCAAGCTCACAACAATCTGACCGCTTTGCTAGTTTAATCAGTCTTTTTTCGGTATCATTCTTATCATTATCATACCTTCTAACCAAACCTCGGCATAATCTAGTACACTTCAAGCACACGTAAATGTTTTGTGCAAGTGTAATGTAAGTGAATGGATTCGAGTATGTACTGTTTGTTTGAAAGTCTTTATAGTTGTTTCTTCTGACTTTCATTTTCATGATCATTTCTCACAACAGTCTTCGTCATCGTTATTTTCCAATGTATGAGAATGCACATGAGAATCGTTTTCGTGTCAATTTATAATGATCAACACTTTTTAGACGATTTTCTGTGTTATCATCAATTGATGATGAATCTTATAGTGTATCGAGTAGTGTTGTATTGTATGTACTGTTTGTCTTCGTCCCATGTTGACAGCATCTTCCCACAGATAATATTACTGCGCTCCTGTCCGTTCTGTCCTGTTGTACTGTTGTGAGATATGACCATCAGAAGTAGATATACAGCGATTACACGGTTTTGATCATAAACGTCTTCATAGCATTTCTAGCGTTCAGTGAGCAGTGTGAGCAGTGTTGAGGTCAGGCGAAGGATACTAGGCAAGACAGACGAGCCGACTGGTAACGTTGTTGACCTTAAATGAACATGTGCTGCAGCATGCCCATCCACTACCACCTATCTCAACGTGCCATGCTACGGGTACGGTTCAGAATAACCACACCAAGATCTGGCATCAGTCAATGAAATCCCTGACTGTTGTTTAGAACCGTGTGGGGTTGATGTCAACTGCCTGACAGAGGTCTTCGAGACGAAAGGAGTCAGTGGTTGAGAACTATTGGTGACATGTTTGGATACTGGTCACAATGGCACAGATGTATTCACTTCTTGACATCTTGTGAAGCTTGAATATTCATACTAACCATTATATTCAGATTGTTTATTTTCTCACACTGCTTTATCTACTTTGATATAACTCTTTTTGTATCCACCTGTTGTTTGTGTACTACTGCAAAGTGTGGCAACTCGAACAGATACACCTGTATGCAAGGTTCTCCATTGATTTTGTCAGTCAGTCATAGATAATATGTAATTATAATGTAGTTTAGTTCGACTCATTATTTGTCTGCTCTATTTTCCGACATACACCTAAGCTGTCTAAGAACTGAGTTCAAAGTTTTCAAAGGATTTGACTCCGAATATAATATTATTTCCACTTTTCATAATTATCAGATGATAAGTGGGTTAATAAGGACTACTGTCGACTTGCCATTCAATTGCTTCTAACAAATGGAACATACGACTTCACGGAACATCTCAGTGGTGCATCACAACAACATGGAACAAGACAGAATTTGCTGGAATTCAAAGTTTGAAATTAATAAGAACAACTTGAGTAGGTGGTGACGAATAAAAAATGATCAGTAAGATGTTCAAGAATTAAGGAGCAATCTTGTTGTAATTTAATCCTGATATTAGCCGGATGAATACTTCTGTTATGAAATGTACACTCAGTTGTACCTTGACATCTGACTAATTTGTTCATTGTGGCGGCCACATAACCATTACTGGTTGAAGCACTTGTACCCTCTTATGGTTCTGCTATACCAAGGGGACAGTAAGACTTAAAGCTATTTTTGACATAGATTTGGAATATCTGATGCTTTTCTAGATAGTATGCACCAAAGGTGCTGCTTGCTGAAATGGAAGAAGTTGAAGATAGTTAAGAATATTAGCAGGGAGCATTGAAGAAAATTTCGAAAACAACCAAGAGAAAGATGGTCACAACCGTTTTTTCGAAGGTATTACATTGTGTTTTAGTTATGGTGACTCTTAAGTTAAGAATGAGCTTTAACGCTAGTAGTGAAAAGCCGTAAATACAAGAGGAATTGCACTGATTTTCGCCCAAACTTTTCTAACGCTTCCATTCAACAAGAAGAAAGTAACATCAATTGCATATGCTAGTTATTCTCGAGGTAAACTACTGCCGCTCTTGCATCCGTTTACAGTTAGCAGCACAACCTTGAATTGTGTAGCCAACACCTTTAATCCCATTTCAACGCTGACTGTTATCTTTCTCTAACTGACTTTTCCTGATGTACTAGCATCTCAATGAAGCACATATTTCAGTTTATATGGCTTGTATGGCATGGTAATGGGTAAATTGAACCACCACACTAAGGTTCCGGCTGCAGTTTGACTGGTTCGTATCTTGTATGCATGACTGTACACTATTCCCTTAGCTTTCATTTTTGTTTTTCACTCAATATTTAGTGTTATTACTGTCATTTATTTCTCCCTACTATTTGATCTTTCTTCGCTATCCCAATGTAAAGTATGAATATGTGTGTATCGATATATCATTATTGGCGCATATTACATCAGCTGTTTTTTGTTAAGTCCGGAAAGTCTTCCAGCAAATAATAACAGTTTCACTGTGTAGACACATCCAATAAATGCACTAAACTTTAGATCAGCGCTGTGTTATTACTCGAGTATGCATAGTTTTAAAGTGTTGCGATTCACTTTTTATTTTGATTGCAGGGTAATACATAAAGTTTTTGAAGGAAGAGAGAGCTACCTTCATGGTCAATGCTTAAAGTCGCCGAACCATTTCCCAACGATATCTTGTAGTATCGCACAAAAGTCAACGAAACCTTAATTTTATAAAACATGTTTATGGAATAACTGTTTCCCTCTTAAAAAATATTTTTGTTGGTAATGTTTTCTTGATAATTTGTAAAGTTATTTCTACCTACTTCTTATTTTAGCTTTGTGCTTCTCAGCCCGGATTCATCAGATTAGCCCTCTGGGAACCTGTTCCTGAACGTCGATTTATGCGGCATGCATGGGCGACATATGAACCGTCTGTAAACATTAAAAAAATTTGTTGGGCGTTAAACACCAGTAATCTATTACGCGAAAAGCTAGATCTTCCAAATGGTGAGCTTGGCGCCACAGTGAACCGTGATTTAGCTCAGAGAGTTCGTCCTCTTACTCCTCTAACACGTCATAAATCTGTTATGCGACAAGATTTACTTCTGGCAGCACAACTTGTTGCTCGGCTGGATGCAAAATATAACCTGTGGACTGATTCTAACACTTCTGAATGTAATGATAATGATGATGTGAAAACAACTGAAAAGCTCACAGTAAATGGAGAATCAGAAACGAAAAAAAGTAATGAGTATGCAGCTTTGGAAACGACTATTAACAGTAAAAATCCATTACTTAGAAATCTGACTGATTATTTGGTTGACGAGGGTGGAAGTGAAGAGGAAGCTCTAATAGGTAAGTCTTCTTTCATCTTATGTACATTGCTATGTTTGGTGATATTTAGAGTATGGAATTATGTGTACTCCATCAGGGGAAGAATGAGATTGAGTAAAGTTTCATCAACTCATCGTAACATAATCTTAATAATAGCCGAATATACCCAATTCTTGTAACATTTTATTCTCAGCCAACTAGACTAAAAATCGACTGAGTCTACCTGGCTGGGGGTCCTTGGGACGGTAGGAATCTGTGGTTGAGGACTTTTATCAAGATTGCTACAAATTGGTCACAATGGCGCAGATGTATTCACTCCTTGACATCTGAAGTTTAAATATTTTCGCTATACTTTACCTTCTAATTGTTCAATCTCTCACATCTTTAATTTAGTATCAATCCTTTTTCTATGCACTTGTTTTTTGTATATTACTTTGAAGCGTGGCAACTTGAAGTGATGCACTTGTGTACGAGGTTCTACGTTGGTTCTGTCTGTCTGCAATAAAACGTGGGGTGACCAAAACAAGATGGCATAGCTGTATGAGATCTCTGACTGTTAGTTTTAGACGTGCAGATGGGTGTAGGCTGCCTAGTTGGGGTCTTCGAGACGACAGGAATCAGTGGTTGAAGATGTGGCATAGTTGTTTTCACTCTCTTCAAACATTTTCACTAAAATGGATTTTCACTTCTTTCCTGTTACAATTTTATGTACCTTGTTGTCACTCTCTACTCTACGCACACCTGTTCTTTGCATGCTGCCGTGACATGGGCAATGAAAGTTTTCGATCACAGGTGTCTTTGTAACATTGCTCGTATGTGATAGAATCACCGTATGAGCAATGTTGAGGTCAAGCGAAGGGTACGGGAGCAGGATAAGCAAGTCGATTGATGAGGTTGTGAACTTTCATTGAGTGAGATAGCCTACCTCAACGTGGCATGCTAGAGGATGCTGGATTAGGTTGGAAAAGGGTTCAGAGTAGCCAGACCGAAACATGTCACAAATGCATGAAGTTCCTGACTGAAAACCGTTCACAGTGGTGCAGATATATATTCACCCTTGAAGGTCTTCTAAAGCTTGAATGTTTGGACTAATTTTTATTCTTTCATACAACTCTGTGTAATTGAATATCACTGTTTATTTGTGTACTACTGTAAATTGTGCCAACTTGAACCGGTACACTTGTGTGTATGGTTCTACGTTAATTGTGTCTGCTTGTCTATTCGATGGCTTATGGCATTGCTTGGTTACCGAAGTTACAGTAGGTGGGCTTCTGCCCATGATTTATTTTATTCAATTTATTCATTTTGTTTCTTTTCAAACAGGTCACTGTTTTTATTGATCAATTAATACCTGTAATACTGTCGAAAATTTTAGGCTTTTCGTATCCTTTTGTCAGGACGTATTCTGACAGGAAAGTGAAACAACCTTCCTCCTAGAAATTACATGTCATACTTTTGGAAAGTTGGTCAGCGAACAATGCACCTAATCTTTTTAATGTATTATCCTTACTTCTATTTGAAAGGTTTTCTGGACTAAATTTATCTATCACCAGATTCACGGAAGCTGTAGAAGGGCGACCTAAGTCTTTGCAAAAACTAGCTCGGAATCATGCTCCACCCCAACCAAAATATTAAGCCACATCATCCTGGAGAGACTAAATGGTTCCATGCATTAAAAATTGCTACCGCAACAGGATGTCTGGCTTCAGGAAGAACAAATCATATCCGGATCAATTTGTAACGTTACGCATCGTCATAGAACAGAGGAAAGAATGGTAGTCAACTTTTCACCTCAACTTCATCGATTTTGAAAAGGCCTTCGATAGCGTCGAACGAGAAGTAATTTGGCAGGCAAGTGCTTCAACACTACGGTTTTAGTGCCACAAACCTTTATCAAGCTCATTCAACACCTATATGAAAAGGCCACACGCCAAGTGATTCACGATGGAAAGCTAAGTGACGCCTTTGAAGTGAAGACGGGAAGAAATAAGACAATGCTGCCGCCTCATCAATCAATCGATCAATCATTATCAACATAGGACCAGGCATTACTGCGTAACTGTCCAACCTGCCACATTTCTTATCAGTACATTGAGTAAAAAGACAGTGAGGCACAAGATGAAGATAAGAGAATGAGGTGAAAAGAGAGAAAGGAAGAAAGAGAAAATGGTGAGATTCGGTATAGCGTCGTTAAGATGAGGATAATGTATGTATGCATCTGCGCCACTGACATCGGTTCTGAGCCATATCACCTAGAGTCTCCAACCACTGGTTCCTCTTGTCCCATTGACCCCAACCACCTAGTCTGCATCGTCCTACATGAGTTAAACCAACAGTCAGAGACTTAATACATTGATGCCATGTTTTAGTGTGGCCACCTCGAGCCTTTTTGCATCCTGGACCTACTTTGGCCAACATTGTGTGACGAGGCAATTGATGACTAGGCATACGTAGTAGGTGTCCCAACGATCTCAGTGGATGAAGGATCATGACGTCGTCAACTGACTTACCTGTTCTCCCTAAAACTCTTTACCTGACTTCTGCATTACTCACGTGGTGACACCAGTGAATACGTCCCATACAACGAGGGCAGCGGTGGTCAAACACCTGAAGCCAGGCTTCTCATGTCTTCCACCTTCAATGACTATGTTTCACGGTCATATAGTAGAACAGAGCGGACTGTTGTGCAGTACACGCTACCCCTAATAGACAATCGGATATGATGGCGGCGCGAGAGATGGGGTAATTTGGCAAAAGCCAACCGAGCCTTTTGTATTCGTGCGGAGATTTCATCGGCCACTGACCAGTAGTGCACCAGGGCTGATCCTACTTCCCAGGTGGGTGAAGTGGTCGACACACTCAACCACTTCACTCTCTATTGTTAGCCGTGGTGGGGCACCGTTGGAGACCAGTCCTGGAGTAAAAATTAGCATTTGGGTGGTGAAAATCGTATCCCAAACATTCTCGAATTCTCATTCAAAGTGTTCTGAAGACTCTGCATCTTGTCAGCATCTTCACGTAACAGGACAATGTCGTGTGCATATTGTAGGTCTGAGGAAAGTTCACCTGTGATTGAGTCAACGTCTGTGTAATTCGGTGAGAAGGAGAAGGAGACCTCCATAAGAGTATCTATGATGAAATTGAAATTGAATAAGAATGGAGATAGTGGGCATCCTTGACGGACACCACTTGATGAGTATAGCTCCCTGGACAACTCACCATAGGCTCTAACATGCCCACAAGTGTTCGAGTAGAGAGCTTTCAATAAGGTGATGTACTTACTAGGCACGCCTTTCAGTGACAGACATTGCCATAAGACTTCTCGATCAACGGAGTCAAATGCCGCCTTCAGGTCGAGAAATACAGCTATTGTCGGGCGTCTGTAAGCATGCCTATGTTCCAGGACCTGGCGCAGTGTGAATATTTGGTCGATACATCCACGGCCAGGTCTAAAGCCTGCCTGGTTTTCTCGGGCTTGCTGTTCCCGAGCTCCACTCAGGCGTCGGAGAATTATAGAACTTAGGATCTTAGACACTATGTTCGTCAGGCTGATTCCTCTGTGGTTATCACAAGAGGACTTCTCGCCTTTCTTGAAGACTGGGATGATGAGTGACTTAGACCAGTCGGAGGGGATCGTATTTAATTCCGTTAACCTGACTAAGAGAACTCTACCACCATTCTTGTATACCTCAGCAGGTAGTCCGTCTGGTCCTGCTGCCCTTCCCGTTTCAGGCTACCTACCGCTTTCTCAACTTCTAGTGTTGGGGGGCCTGTCTCTATGTCCCATTCAGGGTCCGACTGGATAGCGGGCAGCGCAATGGTGGCTGGAGGCCAGTTAAACTGTTCCTCAAAGTGTTCTGCCCATCGTCCCAGTCGCCTTCCCTGCGAGTGAATCGCAGATCCGTCCTTCTCCGCTATAACCTCACTAACTGTTGTTGACCATTTCCCCCCAGTCTCCTTAATAAGTCTAAATAACTGTCTACTGTTACCGATCGCCGCTGCCTTTTCCATCTCTTTAGCCTTTGCTGCCCACCACTGTTCACGATCGTTGCGCAGACTTTTCGTCAGTTATTTTTAAGTTGCGCTCGCTCTTCATTGTACTCAGAGCCTGCAGGGATGCATTCACGTGCATCCATTAGTTTGGAAGAAGCTGCTGATATCCACTGGCTCTTTTTAGCCATTATCTTGGAGTCGGCTACAGTCTCCAGTGCTGCTTTTACAGTAGACTGAAGATGGCACCAAGCTTCTTCTGGATGAGTGACAGTCTTTTGTTCCGATAACTGCCTAGCCAACTTCTCACTGAACACGGCTTTGGTGTTTTCGTTGTCCAGCAGAACTCGTAGTGGTTTTGTTGCCAAATTTTTTCTACGTCCATTGAGACGCAGGCATATACGTGCTCGGACCAACGCATGATCGCTGTCCAAACACGTACTCCAGAAGGAGCGGCAGTCTTCCACCGATCCTCTCCAGCGATGACTAATAGCAATGTGGTCTATCTGTGTCCATCGCTGAGTCGAGCTCGGTGGACGCCAGGTCAGACAGTGCCTTTCTTTATGTCTGAAATTTGTGCTGGCTAAAAATAGGCGGTTATCTGAGCATAGTTGTAATAGGCGATCACCGTTATCTGTACGTTCAGCTGGGATTCCGAAAGTGCCACCTAAGTGCCTTTCTGCCTCACTCAGTCTACCCACCTGTGCGTTGAGGTCACCTGCAACAACCACCAGTTTACGGTAGAACTCGTCCTTCACTTCATCCGAGCTGCAGTCAGTGGGTGCGTAAGCAGAGATTACAAAGAGACAACGGCGAGTCTCACTATTCCTTTTAGTTCTCACTGTGCCGTTCAGCCTCATAGCGCAGAGGCGACTATCAACTGGGATCCAGTCTAGTAGTGAGTTTTCTGCCCTGGTGCTTAATGCTATACCTACACCTGCAAGACCACGAGAGCTAGCTATCGAATCTCCAGAAACTCGAAGGGTGAATTTTGCGGATTCACCAGATTGGTCAGGAGAGGTCAGGTGAATAACCACACTTGGGTCCTGTATGCGTGTCTCACAAACACAGCACACATCCATGCCCGAGTTGCTAGAGTCTTTGCTAACGAAGCCTGTTGGCCAATTTGACGGAGGGTGCGGACATTGAAGGCTCCAATATGTAATTTGGAGCGTGGTTTAAGGAGACCAGGATGCTGTTCTGTGGACTCAGATCGTTGTCGAAGGCTGCAGAGGTAGGAGAAATTGAAGATGATGCAGCATCATTAATTAAGAGACGTGAAGGAAGATTAGAAGGTAATGATGGAGGAGGAGGATAGCAGTCAGAAGAAACTTGGGTGCTGACAGAGTTGTGAGGGCGGTTGACACTTCCCGGCTGCCCACACCGTGGAAGGCTATTTCTTCTTAAGGTACCTGAAAGAGATTTGTGTGACCGCAGAGCCCATCGGACATCTGCTTGAGGCCTGTCACACCCAGCCTTTTGAGTATGATTATTTTGAATTTTTGTATTTTTGGGGCCGGATGGGCGAAAGGAAACGACAAGTGAACCAACACCGCCGGCCCGGCAGACCGTGGGGCGTGGTGGAGTGTGTTATTTTTGGGGCCGACCTTTTCTAACCCCCCCTTCCACTGAGAAGGCAGCATCAGCTTGGCACTGCTGGTCATCCAAGGGAAACACCTTACTGCTGTCACACCCCATCCAGCTAGCAGCAGTACGACTTCGCCCTCAGACCCCCATCATAGTGTAGCAATTTACACTATAACGGTAACTGCTTTTCGTCTAACCACTACCCAACAGACCTTTCTGGTATGGTAGGACCTCGAGGGAACAAGCGTTCCACCAGCATAGCTCGTTGGGTCATTGTGATATGCAAGCCCGACCACCACGTCAAGGTAGCAGCTATCGGTCGGAATGCTGCCGCCTACTATCAGTGATGATCTTCCTGATTGTGGTTGACTGGACTGGATCATACAACGAACCGCGAGGAACGAGAAGATGGGCATACGCTGTTTGACTGATGAAAGGAGCCTAGAAGATTTAGATTTCGCCAGTGATAATCTATGTTTAATGTCGCACAAACTGGAAAATCTACAGACGAACACTAACAAATTGGCAAAAGAGGAGGGGAGAGGCAGCGAAGACGGTGAACGTAGAGAAGACAGAAGTGATAAAGTTACCCAACCATTACCACCACCAACAACAACAAGAAGCCTCAATCACCATCAACCGGAGTCTAAAAGAAGTTGTCTCTCTGACCTACCCAGCTACCTAGACAGCATCGTTTCAACTATAGACGGCGGCACAGATGATGTCAAAAGATCGGAAAACATAAAGACAGGCCTTCCTGCATTAATCTGAAGTCAGTGTGGGGATCTACTGCACTCAGCATAAAGAACAAGATCCAGATTTTCAGTCAGGTCAATGCTTCTATGTGATGGTTGAGAGATTTGGCGCGATATGAAAAGCGTTTCCAACAAACTACAGACATCAACAGTTGCCTACACTCGATACTGACGATCGATCAGATGGCCAGTAGGAATGAGCAACAAGGAACTCACTCTATCAGCGAGCCCTTCGCCCAACAAATATGCAAGAGAAGAAAGTGGAGATGGATTGGATTGGACATAGACTGAGAAGACGGTTTGGGGATATCACACATCAGTCGAGGTCCTCGATTGGAAGCCAAATGGGAAACGACTAGTTGGGCGTCCGGTGGTGACATGGTGGACATAGTGTGAAGAAGAAATGAAAGCTTCTGGGCAGTCGTGGAGCCAGGTAAAAAAGAATACTAGGAATTGAAAGGACAAGTAATAATAAATACGGAAACTGTGATACTCATCAACCTTTTTAACATATGATTAAATCGTTTTAACGATGTTTCGGCTTCAAAGAAAGCCTAAATGATGTTTATTAAGGTTACTAATTCCTTTTCATTTTCTCGTTGACTTTATTACTGGTTTTCTTGTCTCATTCTATACATATTTGTAACTGTTTAGCTGAAACTCACGGAGATGGTGGATGCGATAACAATATGGTTGGACGTGTTCACACTGTGACATTAGAATCTGATCCGAATTTGGCTCATATCTTGGATTTGTTAATACTTTATTTACGTGTTGTTCATTCTATGGATTATTATGCAGGAGCTATATATCCTATGGAGGATCTTATGCCTCATCGATGTGGAATTCTACATGCTAGAGGTGATAGAGGTATTAATCCTACTGTCCCTGGTGGTCGTACTACTGGTCTAGCTTTTACTCAAAAGGAAATCAATGATCATTTACAGGTAATAATATAAAATAACCGATACTTGGTATAATATAGACAAAGGCTAAAAAGATTACTAATTAACCTTATTTTCGTGCAATTTATTTCCCGTAAATCAGTCATTATCTGATGATTGTAAACAATTGAAAAGTGGTATTTATTTTTAGGTTTTTTTTATTATGATCGGCAAGAATTTGGTTATTCAAAAGGCAACTCAGTAACCATATGCATGTTTGTAAGCTAACCCTATTCTATTACGGTTAGTACTACTACCACCTGTCTAACCAGACCTCTGTAGGTGTAAAGTGAAGTTCTAGTCCATGACCCATGGATTTAAAGTTAAAAACGTAGACCAATGAGTCACAGCTGCACAATATTTTTTAATTAATGAGTTGTAACTCAGTAAAATGAGATCGAATCAACTTTACAGTACTAAATGAAATCCCCAACTGAAGGATTTTCATACAAACAAATCAATTTGGTAAACTTTTTTCGCTTTGGTGTAACCAAGACAGAAGAAGGAAACTATGAATAATATACTGATCAAATATTGAGATTGTCTGCAGGCAGATCCAGTTTTCGACCCGATTCAGTCTAGTACGATTAATTTCAGGAACTGACAAGTATCGATTGAAAACGACATCTGATACCCGTTGTTTGACTACTAGTCCTCCTGCTTCAATGGCCTATGTCATTCGAAGCGATGAGAACCGGGTTCGAATCTCAGTTGGAACACCACCACTCCTCAATCCATCACTCACTGAACTGATGGGGAGGGGGGATAAGTCCAACTGATGCGTCCTAAATAGGATGAAACAGACATTTTAGATTCCATTGCTAGCCACCACCAAACAAATAGCGGCATACTGAGCCTTCAGGCAAAGTTGAGGGCATCTGCGTAGGACCTGATCCGCTAACAGAGGTCGACCATTTCGATCCAATATAACAAGGAGAAAGTTACTTGTACCAGTAAATAATAACTGTTATCCGTTGTACAAGAGGTGTCTCTCCCACCTCCCTAACTTAACGGATAAAAGTAAGGCGTTCGAGGTGATGGATATTGGTTCCGAGTCTTAGCTAGAACGTCATTTCTAACTGAAGTGCTAGTACGAAAGCACCATATGACAGCGTGGAACGTGGTGATGGGAAGGCGACCTAGCGGAGAATAGTTAAACGCCTGGAGGCGGAGTTTGACAGCTCAATGGACAGGGAGCTGGCGATGTAGCAGTTCTGGAGCACGAAACTGGGAATAGGCAAAGATCCGCTGGTGTTGGCTGTGAAGTTGACCAAACCACTTCGGCGAGCACTTCGCACGTTAGATGAGGAGTCACAGCAGCAGTTGTTGGTAATTCCCTATGATTCCTGCCACCCTCTCAACATATACTACTTATATCCATTCTTATCAGCAACGTCCACTACAGTAGTAGTAGTGGGTTGGATGGAGACTAACGTGATCCAATCAATAATTTGGATTCATGCATACATTCTCTAGGTTGTTGGTCTGGGCGGTATCAGGAAAGTTCAGTTGCTCAGAATGTTTAAAATCATCACTTGTGTAAATTGTAATCAGATTATTATTTTTAAAATTTCAGCCTTACTAACTTGCTTTTATTGTTTTATGTTTACCTCAGTGTTCTATTGTGATGATATGTCTTGAATAGGCTACTCATTCAATCTACTTATCTACATTAACTACCGTAGTTGTATTTTTATTCATGTAGCAATTTCTTCACGGTGCAATAGTTTGTTTATGTTATTTTTGTTGTTGTTCATACTGATATAGCTTATTCTCACTTGTGAATGTTTGAAATATTTTTAGAGTTTTGCATTGAAACTGCGCTCTCTCATCGATGTGCCAAAAGATTTAACTGAAGATGAAATGAAAAGATTGGGAATGAGAGATCCTGAGAAAGCAGCAGAAGATTTCATTGAGGCAAATATTCAGAAAAGAACTGGCAAGAAGAAACCGTAAGTCATAAGACATAATAATGAGGAGCGATTAACAAGTGTATCTATCTCTGTGTTATTGTTAGCAACAAATTTGCGTCTAGTTATCTGTGGAAATGAGTATTTGTGTCTGGAGGACCGATGGGTTGATCAGACGTGTGTATCGCAATAACCCCAAAGAGCTACATTAATATGAACGTTTGTCCCTTGAAGCTCTGTCTTAGTGGTGCGATTGAAACCAGTTTACCGTTGTAATGTTAGTGAATAGCTACATTATGATTGAGGTCCGATAGCAAACACTGAGAAACAGTTCAGTTGGCTATTTCTTTGTCCACTAGCAAGTTGAATAAGGAATGATACTACAATAGGTCGCCTAGTTCTTTTCAAAGTTATGAAGACTCTAAGTAACCTGAAATGAGGAAGGCCAGAAGAGTCAAGTGGGCTAATTACCAGGGGTAGTTAAGAATAACAGTTACGTATCATGCGTTTGACATGAGCTTGACGCTTCAGGGTTTTGTTTGAAATAACCAGGAGGGAGGATAATCGCTTCATCGCTTTGAGCGTTTGATAACTACCGCTAGTATAATCACTAGGGTGAACTCTATCATTGACCTACAACCTATACCAGAGATATAGGCAAGCATATCGGCCGACTCGGTCCTACTCGGGAGGAGGCAACAAGCATATTACCCAGCGCCTTCATCATACCTCGTGTGCATTGCGTACTCTCCTTTCGCCCGACGAAGCACGTTACTCATACTTCTGAGTAAACGGATTAGGTACCGTAACCAAGAGTATTCATAAACATCTGAGTAGATCTGCCATTACCCATGCCAAGTAGCTTTCTTCACTTGGAAACCCTAGCGCTGGACGGTAAGATGGTGACTCGGGTACTATGACGGAGGTCCACCGTCTCACAAGTAGAAACGACATACCGTAGCCATCTGATTCACCAGCAAACCAGGTATCCGACTAAGGTCGACTAAATGTGCACCATCGATTGGACCATTCACGCGCGTCACTAATTGGTGGATGACAAGATATTTGCCCACATTTTGAGAGTAATAGTTGCTCTCGAGCCTTTTAAACAAACCGAAATTTAAAGACATTCATCGAACATATGCCTTTTAGTGCTGTAGGCAATGAGCTAGACCTATTGTGTGAGGGTTAAAGGTACTACATAAGGGCGTAAACCTCTGTAAGTGGAGCGGAGTTCAAACCCATAACCCATTGGTTTTAAGTTGGGTGCCTAGATCTGTGACGAGCCACAATTTCACTTGACTGGTAAACTATGCAATGTTTCAATACGTGATATTTAAATAAGGCAGAATGTAATCATACCCATCCTCCTTTTCAACCTCAGTTTTTTTTTTGAAATTTTTTGTGTTACACCTTTTTCTCCTGAAAGAAGTTCGTCTGTATAAGTTAACTATCAGAATGGTGAAGACTATTTGTAGCTCAGGTGGATGGTCTTGGTTGTTTTGTGTTCTCTGAGCTGGGCTGTTTAATCTTGGAGCTTTTATCACCACGACATCATCAGCACTAATGAAATCAAATTCACAATAGAGAAGGAGTCAAACAATCAACTACCACTCCTTGATGTTTCAGTCGCTAGGACAAATGCCGAAAAGCTGGGAACCCAAGTGTACAGGAAGCCAACACATTGATCAAACCCTGAACTATAATAACAACAACTCAACAGCGCACAGAGTTAGTTGCCTACAGACTATTCAAAAGAGCAAGAACACCCTGCAGTACAACAAATTCACATAGAACCAAAAAAAATTACTTGACGTCCATCCTAAAGAAGGATGGCTACCCACGGAATTTTATCGAAAGATGCCTATCCTGTACATTATCAACTACAAAGTCATGGACACAAATCAACAAACGCATCATCCTATCCTACATAAAGAAGACATCAGAAATCACGACAAGAGTACTGAGACCATTTGGAATTGGTGTGGCTCATAAACCAACAAATTTCCTACAAACACTGTTATGCAGACCAAAGGATGCAACAGTTAAAGAAGACAAACCAAATATCATATACAAAAATAACTGCAATGATTGCTATCAACACTATATTGGTCATAGAGGTGACCCTCGTCGCTTTCGTTTACATGAACACCAATTGGATAGTAAACATCACAATATTCCATCGCTGATTTCATTTCATGTAGATAACTATAGACATGAATTCAATTTTGACAATATAGAAATTTTGAATAAGCAAACAGGAAACAAAGAATATCAGAGAATTCCTAAAAGCTTGGCATTCAGGTTAGTCAGTCAGTCAGTCAGTCAGCAATCAATAGATGTGTAGATAGAGATCCAATCTACTAACCAACTAGAAAAATGATAAACAACAGATAGGTCAAAGGGGGAAGCAGAGTAACAGCCAACAGGAAAATCTAGACAAACAAAGGAAATAACTAATCACAAACTTGTTCATCAGTTCAAGCTACTGAATCACTCTTTCACGGAGAGATATTGACAGGTCGTTTAGAAAGACGATGAAAGCTCCACGATTAAACAATCCAGTTCAGAGAACACAATACAACCAAAAATATCAAAATTTTAGCTTTTAAGTACAATTTTTGTCATGTTATACATTTTCTAAACATTTTAACATGACATTCATTGGGACTCATTTTGCACTGTATAATATCTCTGCTGATAGAATGTGTTATAAATGCTTACTTGATTTTTACTGACCTATTTAGGTTTAAAGTGGTTTGGGTTTGTCCACTTTCTGACAAGAAGTTTCGTGAGCCTATTTTTGTGAGGAAGCATATTTTCAATAAACATATGGATAAGGTAGAAGCAGCTAAAAAAGACAACGCAGTATTCTTCAACAATTATCTGAAAGATCCAAGACGTCCATCACTTCCAGAGGCTCCTTATCACTTACTTAATCATTATTACCCATCTCTGAGTTCAAATACAAGTAATAACTATAGGGGTAGAGGCTCTGGACGTGGTTCAAGTGGAAGTTATCGAGGTTTTCGAAATAATTCACTTCTTGCGACAAATCCAGGCTATGTCCGTGGTTCTGGAACTTTCCAGGTTAGTTCTGATTTTTTTTACCAGTTTCCCTTTATGTTGTATGTAGTTCGTGATAATTTTGGTAGTCATCTGGCAACATTGTTTACCAGTATCTTAAACAGGAACTGTATCAACCAGCATTGAAAGTTGAAGAAAGCTGAAGTGAAACAGGCAGAACTCACCTAGAGCGTTACATTAGCATTTATTCTGTGTAGCATAACTACACCGAGTTTGTGAACGTAAAACCAGAGAGTATGGCGTAACAGTCCAACTTGCCACACCGCATATCAGCACATCAAGTAACAAAGTGATGAAATGGAAGATGAAGAAAGAAAGAAAAATTGGTTAGAGGAAACAGAGGTAGAAACCAATAAAAGGGAGGAGGGATTAATAAGAAAATGATGTATGAAGTATATCAGATAAAATGAGGTTACATCTGCATCACGGGCGTTGATTCTCAGCCACTAGTTTCTTTTGTCACATAGACTTCAACTGGCTAGTCTACATCTCTAAACGGTTCGGACTGACGGTTGAAGATTTCATGCACTGATTCCATGTTTTAATCTGTCCACCTCAACCCTTTTCGCAGCCTTAACCTACTTCAGCTAACACCGTGCGCGACTGAAACAGATGATGGCTAGGCATGTGTAGTACATGTCCCAGTCATCTCACTTGTTGCTCTTTCCTTCTTAAAATTCTACACCTGACGTGATACCATAATACACGGCCTATGCTACGAAGGCAACGGTGGTCGAACATAAGAAGCCTTCTCATCTCGTCTCCCTTTAATAGCCAAACTTCATATTTATTCCATAGAACAAAGGGAACTGGAGCGGGGGTACATTTGACCTCTAATCGACAGTTGGATGTAGTGGCGGCGCCGTAGATGAGGTAAATCAAGCCTGTGGTATGCATGCAGAGATTTCGTCTGCTTCAACTTTCTAGGCATGTTTATCTACATATATATATGCATAATGCACCTGATTGTTAGGGTATTTCATATGAAAGATGAAAATGCAATGTGGTTTCAATAAATCTAGTGTATTTTCACATTGCACTTGCAAACTAATTACTGTTCCTATGTGTTAAGTTATCAATTTTCATATTTTCAATAGTCTATCTAAACTTTGTGTATTTTACTGCCTGTTAGCAACTAGTTTTCAGCTTTTCATCATAATCACTTCTGTTTTTGTTTTATCCTCAGGATTATTATGAAGTGGCAGCTCAACAGCAGCAGCAGCAACAACAACAACAAGCTATGGCAGCTGTGGCAGCAGCTGCAGCAGCAGCTTTATATCCAAACGCTACAGCAGCTGATTTGTATGCCTTAGCTGCTGCAGGTGCACCTCGCTCCGGTTTAGGGATATCTAGGCGTGGTCAACGTGGTACTTCACCGCCTCATGATTTCAATCATCGACCGTATAATTCTTTAGATAACCGTCGAAGACTAGCTACAAATTATGTTGGAAATCGGTAAGTAGCAATCATTGTTTTCGATCATTACATGCTCACAATTCGTCAAGATTATTTGAATCTGAGAGTTATTTTAAACTTATCATTATCGAACAAGAGATAATTCAGTGGAAAAAGATCCTCTTTCTGACGAGTCCTTTTCTGAATTTGTACGTTCGTATTTATAGTTACAACAGAAATATTCATCCATCGATGGGTAAATTAGTCAGTACAAGGTTATTAGACTGGATAGGTTATGTTTGTTTGGATCTTGTGTACTACTACTGGAAGCGTGCCGGGGGTGGTCAACACTTCCCGTCTATCTACACCTTGGAAAAGATTTGTGTGACTGTAGAACTCAATTAGGCATGTCCCACATAGTCTTTTGTGGGTTATCATTTTGAGATTCGGTTGTTTTAAGGGCGGGGAGAGAAAACCGATACCGCCGATATTTTTGAAGGGAACATTAACATGGCATTGATGGTCATCTGAAGGAAACATCTCACTGCTATCACACTTTATCTAGCTTGGGGGAGCAACCATCCTAGGCAGTATAGCTCGATGTGCTATTGTTATATGCAAGCTTGACCACCATGGCTGTGTGTAAGGTCAAGAAGAGTTGCCTATTCAATTATATAGTAATAACTGAAAGATAATTACTAATTGAACCTCCTCTATGAAGGTATAGAACAGGTACGGAAAGTAGGACATTCCTGTTGACATCCCGGAGTATAGGGAGCCAGTGACGATAATAGTGTTGATAATTATAGTAAAATAAAGAAATAAAATGTTGAATATGACGAAGGTAAAATTGAAGATTGAACATGCCTCTTTTGAACCCAGAGATCAAGCTTGAACCTCTCAATTGCTAAGGTTTCTGCCATGTTCATGTGGGGAATTCGTACTCCCTTTGAAATGTTTTATTTTATAAATGACTTTGAAAGGTGATTCTAGTGGGGCAGTGTTGATGGATACTGAAGCGTCGAGTTATTATCATCAATCGCTTCACATTCTGCATTATACACCCATTTAAGATAGTGTTGGGAGATGTGGTCTATGTAATCAACCAGCTAGCTTCACAAATAGAAGTGAATTCGATCAATTAATCAGTTCATGAAAGCACCGATAAATATGATAAACATTTGAGTCTCAGGTGAATTGGATAATGTTCTCATTCTGAAATTCCTTACTTCTTGATGAAACCAGTTACTTCTTTAGTTAACAAGTTGGTCCCGGAGTTCGTTAAGGACAAGTTGCCGCTTTGGGTTACCTCAATGTGTCTACAAATTTATTTGCTCCTGTAGAGCTAGTTATACAGACCGTACAAAGCGCGCACTTTCTAAGCGTATATTTGAACACTATTCTGCATGGTTATCAAGGGGAGAATGTTAATAAAGAAAAGTTGATCAGGTTTTCTTATTCCAGTATCACTTTTTGATCCTAACTTTTGAACATTTATCGTCTTTACATTATTTAGTCACTGAATAGTGATCGATTTCATGTTGTATAGCCCGTAAATTCTGATAGAATTTTATCGATCATCATCGGTAATATAGTTACACCAAAGCTACAGTTACGCCTTTGTGACACTTAACTAACAGGCACGTGAAACATAGGTTCTCGACTTCCTGATATCTGCTTCCAAACATGCATTGAAGCTATTTCATACGTATTAACGATGGATAGTGGCTAGCAGTGGAATCGAGAACGCACGTTTCATCCTATGTGGAACTCACCAACTGGATGTACCTGCTCCCACTGGGACTCGAACTGAGAACCTATTGCTTCAAACGCTAGAGCGTTGTCTACTAGACCACCGAATCACGATAGCCACTTCTTGTCCGATCAGCATAGTTTTAATGTTGTTACTTGGATTATCCCACCATTGATTGGACGGAATTGATTTGTTTCTATTGGCATATGAGGCTCCTGTGTGGATGCCTCGATATTGCCTATGTTTCAGTTATATATTACTGATGGATACAAGCAACAACATTATGTTACACGTACATTATTTCACTTAGATCAAAAAAGAACCATTAAATAAGATGAATGCCTTTAATTTTGTGGATCGACCGACTTACCTGCCTTGTCGATTCCTTATGTTCAACTCTGTTACTGCTTGCAGTGTTCTTTCAGGGCAACTATGAAAAGACCTGTGATGAAAAACTTTCGGTTTCTGTTTACCTTCAGCTGTCAGATGTTGTCTCACAGCCTTATCATCAAACACGCTTTTATTGGTTAGTTTACATACCCTTTAATAGATAAGTAGTCAGA